TATATTTGTAGCGGTGATAGCTCAGTAAGTAGAGCTGTTTGTTCAGTGCACACGAGATGAGAAGTTTTGGGGCGTTAATTTTTTTTTTTTTTCATGCAAACAACCATTTATTTTCAGTGGCGTAGCTAGGCTCAAAATGAAGTGCATGCTAAATTTGGCAAGGGGTCTGGGGGCCGCCCTGAGGCCCCCAGTGGGTCCAGGGCGAAGCCCTGGTGGGGGCCTAGGGGGCAAAGCCCCCGGAAGCTCCTGGATTTTGACGGTTTAAACACTCATAAAATCATAAAATAAAGTTGAGAAAATGCATGTCTTGACACCTTTTATCATTAGAAATAAAACCATTAGAAGCCTTTATGATAGTAATCTTGGCGAGATCCGAAGAGACTAAAAATTTTGTTCAGACTCCAGACCAAAATTTTTAGTCTCTTCTGATCTCACTGATATTAATATAATAGTAGAGAGACAGTTTTTTTTTACTATCTTAAATTTTTGGACTATCGTAGTTAATTAGCATCTTATTAACTATTTAAATTTGTGAATTTTTGGCAAGTATAAAAAGTGTTGCATTGGTTTTTTTTTCTTAAAATATTAGAAAAGTCGGAAAAAACAAAAAAAAATTATGATTTATTTTTTCAGCTAGTGGACAAATTTAAGCCGATAGATATAGGTCACCAAAGGTAAAATTATAATAAAAAAAAGAAGTTGCCCAGAAGAATCTAATTAAATTCACATGATATATTAATCATTTGGTCTATTCAACCCTAAAATTTAATTTGATCAAGTTGAGAAAATTAGATGATTAAGGTTTATCCACTTTCATAATTTAATGGGTTCAATGTAGAAAAACTGCATTTATTTTCATGAAAAACCGTTTAGATTAATTAGTATTAGTATAAGTATAATAAAAATTATGTTAAATCTCGCTGCATGGTTAAAATACATATTCTAATTTTTCATTACACCCGTAAAAATGTAATCTTTAAAAAAAATAATAATATACAAGATAAAACTTTTTTGTTCAAAAGCCTATGCCATCTCATTAGGGCGGAAACACAGGGGCCAGTAACATGCTTTTGAATTTCCGTTATGACTATATTTTTTTTGAATATATAAAGTCATAACGTAAATTCAAATTTAGCATGTTACAGGCCCATGTGGGCGGAGATAACTTAAAAATCAATAAACTTTTTGAGGTTATCCGCTCTGACAATTTCTGAACTCATATAAATAAAACATATAAAGAAAATTTTCATGTGTATCAATCACGTACAATGGTTGGTTTCTTATTTTATCGTTAACATACATGTATACTTATCAAGTTGTACTCAATTTCTTCATGCCTCATTTTTTAAATTTATTTATTTTATTAATTTTTTTTTTTTTTTTGCAAAATGATGTGCATGCTCGAGCATACAAGCATACATGGTAGCTACGCCACTGATTTTGTCAGTTTCGTTATGTACTGATGTATTAAAATTTTGAATAAGATAAATTTTGTTTCAGTTTGGTTCTCGAGCGAAATCAATTCCAATCTTCTTTTCTATAATGTACATGTACACGTATCATGTATCTACGCATTAATTTTTTTTAGATGTTTATTTTTTGTGAAACATTGCTATGTTGTAGTACCCCCTAGGAAAAAAAGGACATAAATGTTACAATCTCACAGGGTCAAACTAAATAAAAAAAAACCTATGGACGTGTTTGTAAAATCTGACCAGCTATGTTTAGCCAACCAAATTATGGACATTTAATCCATAAATGTTTCGTACAAATGATTCCTGGATCGCACGCCAGATGCGCCCATCTTCTTTGTTACTTCACAGTTACTCTTAAATTTTTTATTTTGTTCAAAAAGTCTCAAAATGAAGCTTAAAAATTAAATCTTTTCATTCAACAATTCTCATTTTATACCTCTCAATGTGCTTCAAGGTTATTTGAAGTTTTCAGAAAGGTCTCATAAAAAGTCGAAATTTTTACACCAGAAAAGTATATTTTAAAATCATATATTTAAAGAAATTGAGATTCTTTTAATATAACCATATACACCAATGTTTATTGACATGATATGGACTTCAAAATGATTAATGGTGTTTTGCAATGATAGTAAAATCTTAATACACTATTCATTGTAAAATGATCAAAGAAAATAGAAATAACTATAGCGCATCATATGCAATTTTTTTAAAATACTGGATACCTATAATTTTTAATTCTAAAATGTATTTGTTGATCAAATTTGAATTGGAAAATGCATACAAGGTGTTTTTATTCGGATTTCCTGATAATTTATTTGAGATCAATAATTTTCCCTATACCATATGATTAACTTTAAAGGTGTAGTTTGAAGAATTATCGTGGGTTAAACACAATTACTTTAAGAATTCATTTTAATAAGCATTTTCAATTAATCAATGCCTGTTTTTCCGTACCTGAGGGACGGAGAACCTTAATTTAAATTAATCATGTCAATATTCATTATGATCACTTTAATTCCAGATAGGGAACAATACAGCTAAAGTATGTATGAAGTTTAACTTACGGTTGGTGTTACTCATCCTATGTTTATAAACCCTGACTTCTGGCAGAGGTGAAAGACGCGTGTTACATGTACGAGTTACAAGGTACTACGACACTTCCTTGGTTTTGAGTCATGAAGGTATGGTTTCATTCATCTTTTAAAATACATAAGTGCTGTTCAAACTGGTATTATTCATTATGTTCTATAATGGATCAATTATTTCCCTATAACGCATAAAGCTTGTTGTGAAAAACATTACATTTGTTTCGATATTCAAACTTTGGCAGCTGTTTTTTTGTAGTGGAGCTTTCCGCTTAAATGGTCTCTTTCCTGAACCCAGTCAGAAAAAAAATCAAGTGAAAAAGTCTTTTGCTTTATTTTCAAAATATACTATTCAAACAAGTAGGGGATATTGGATTTACAAGGACGATGAAATGCAGATCATAATGTCAGAATGAAAACAAATGACAGAAAAGCATTAAGGAAACATTTGCCAATTTATTCGAAACCCCGTAAATATTCAGGAAAGGACAGATTCTCCAGAATAAAGGTAGACACCAATACAAGGTCACACAGCAAATTTACTACAACTGTAAAACAGAGTCAGTAAGGGGTAAAACCTCTGTTATACTCCTAACGAGGCATCCCAGGTCATTCTGAGGAAGGTTACTAGTATTCCATTCCTGTTGCTATGATGCAGCAAGTTCTTGGAGATTAGCAGGGGGTTATTGACGTTGATCTTACATGGTAGTTAACGATATTCTCCTTTTGGAGATCATCTGTAACTATCCTTGCCCTGTGACATCTGGCATTGTCTCGTGAAAAATGAATTCAAAGGATGGCCGATATGACGTGCAAACGACAAAACATGGGATACCAAGATAGTGTCCTGGAAGTACTACCCTGTGACACGCCAAGCAACAACATGCAAGTATGTTCTCCAGGGAACAGTGATGACTCTCCACACCATTTAAGATCCACCTGCATACCGATAATGTCTAATGGTGTTAACGTCATGTATACGTTCTTTCCGTTGGCGGAAAACACTCGTGCGTCTATCCAGCAAGTCCACAGTGAACCTTGACTCATTTGAGAACATTACCTGATTCCACTGGCAATTATCCCAGCGTTGCTGGTGACGATACATGTGGAATTGGGTCCTACTGTGACGATCCCTCGAACAGGGAATGACACAAGGACGCTGGGCTTGCAAGTGAAATCTGTGCAATCGTTTCCTTATGGACTGGACACTCACTACCAAGCCAGTATCCATTAGAAGTTGAAACCTTATTTAAATTCCTGTTACCAGCCTGAGTTGTTGCCTTTAGTCGACAGGATCGTGGTATATCCTGAATAGCCCCTGTTGCACGATGTCTGGAAACACCCATTTCCCTTGTCACATCGACCTGTCTTGTGCCATCCTGTAGCATGCCAACGAATTGATACATGGTTATACATGTATCCCTTTGTATATGTGAAAATTTCATCACAAACTACTGCAACAGTACCGGGTATTCCCTACTTTTTTTTGAATAGTATATAAAATTACCCCAATCTTACTTATAGAAGGTTATATTTTAAAAAGAAAATGTTTTATGTTTACATCCCAGTCACTCATTATCTGGAATTACCTATCAGAAATACCCCCCTAGATTGTGATATTGAGCTCGAGTCTGGTTAATAAAATATATGTCACTTGGCTGCAAATACAAATTTATACAAATTATTCACGATGGTTTACATTTCTTTCAATAATCATGCACGGGAAAGAGATAATTTAACAAAGCTTTTACAAATACTTATTTCTCTATCTTTTTTCATTATCATTATATCATATCTATTTCATTTATTAAAAGAAAATAAATGCCTATTTAAAAAAATGACAATTGAATAACTTCTATAAAAAAAACTAGAGGTACTGTGAGCACTGAGCTCATCAAATGATATACTAGTATATGATTATAATGTTAAAATGCATGTTTTGCTCACTCAAGTAAACAATTCGGACGGGCAAAGGGAAGTAACTCTAAAATAAAAATAAGACCAAAATATGAATATAATGGCAGTGTCCATGTTTTGCTATGGAAAACCCAAAATATGTGCATGTCGGATCAAAAAGTAAAATAGGAGGTGCACAAAGAAAATATGTAATAAAGATTCTGTGAAAGTTTCATCAAATTTCATTCAGTGGTTCGAGAGGAGTTGCGGATAAGAATTGGGTATCCCAAAGCGTAACAGACGAACGGACTTACAGACAGAAGGACTGACGGACATCCCAATTACTATAAATACCCTCCCGCTTCTCAAGCGGGAGGTATAATTTGCTTTAATCATACATTTATGATATCCATATATTAAATAGCAAAGGATTCACTGAGTAATTACTTTGATGGCAGTTTCTTCTTATTCAAACACCGGTATGGTAGCTTCTTCGGTAGATCGCTCGTTCCCTTATCGGAAATTTAAATCCTGGGTACAACTCACCTGGGTCAACAAAATTAGGCGGCACCTGTTCCTTCACCCAAGTGCTCAGACATTGTTACGAAAGTACACCTTCAGTGTTGAATAGTCCTGGGTCCAAAAAAAGGTCTAACTTTAAAGGTAAAATTCTTGAAAAGAAAGTCAACCATCCTCTTTAGCATTTCCTTGGTCGTTATATCTTACATACAGGTAGATTAAAAATAACCAGAAATTGATTAATCAAATGAAAACACTGCTGTATTTTTTATTCCTCAATAAGATGTTGCGTTCTATAGGTATCGTATCACTGAATTTCGAGTTGTGTTTCATATTAAAAAAAATGTTTTATATCTACACATGTTTTTATTATATGTTCACAATTTTTGAATAAATTCCAGACTTCCAGAGAGGTGTATTGTTTCATTATTTCACTAAATAACATGTTCAATTAAAAAAAAGCACATTCTACATGTTCTATGAAATCCTATTTTTGAAAAGATAATAGTTGACACTTTACATATGCAATCAACTTCTTACTCGTAAGTAGAACCTTGATAAATACAATGTAGTACTCATAGTTGGGAATATCTCAAAATGTTTAAAGAGGTGAAAATATATTTATCTCATCGCCATTTGCAGTTTTTTTTACGGGAGATGGTTGATTCTCTGTTGGAAAGTCAGTACATTCGTTAAATATAAAGCTAAAACGACTCCCACTGAGACGAGGCCGATGAAAATGGATGTAATCGTCAACGTTTTGGCACAAGAGGCAGATTGTTCAGCACCACGTAGATCATTCTTCTCTACTCTCTGGTTTGCCTACAGTAAGACATATTGGTGTGAAAAGCATCCATATCGATATATATTTGTGCCTATAAAATGCTGGTACATAATATTGGCACTGATAAATATTTACATACAGAAAATATGATATGCAAAGAGAATTTTAAGTATTTCGACTTATTAAGGAAATAATTTAAAATGATCATTATCAGAGTTCAACAATCTAAAATTGCTAACATCAACAAACCTCCCAAGCGTAGAAGATCGCAACTAATCCTAAGGGCCAAAAGCAACACAAACAGGAAAAAATGGCTGGGCAAAGCCAATTCGTTGGTGTTTGTGTTATGGTGACAACTTGTGTAGAACCATACACTTTAGCGCCTGACTTTAGAGAAAATAAAGCTATACCATACATTCATTGCGTGCTAGATTTTTGATAAACCCTATGTCTTAAACACTATGGAATAAAGTCGATCGACTAGTTACATGTAGCAGGAAATACAGATCAACTTTATATAAATTATCAATTAAGTATTCAAGATTTAAATGAATTTACCAAAAAAATAATATATGAAATTGATTATCTTGTATTTTAGACATTGACCAATTGCAGAACTGTGATATGTGTCCTTTTGACATGTACCTGATGTTGGTAACCTGGCGGCATAGACTGGTAAGTTGTCGGTCCCTGGTTATACCCAGCATTGTATGCTAAATAATTATTAAATAACTTTATAACACTGAGGCAAAAGCTATTACTGTGTTGGGAAAAGAGTAAAAAACTTTAAAACACATCACATTCGAAATTTTGAGATTATGACATTAAATGAGTTACACCTGCTTGTTATGGAAACATCTTATACTCTTAAATAATAATTATTGAGGTAGAAATTATAGACTCTAATGGAGTCATATGTTTGAAACTTGAAAAACAAAAGTTTCATTTTTGTTTTTAAAATTCAAAATAATGCTCTCTATTTATTTATAAAAGTGATAAAGAGTGATCACATTTTAAGGGCTAAGGCAGAAGAAGGAAACAAAACCATCAGAAAGTCTATAATATTGTATTAATATTTAACCCTTTCTCTTCCGGCGCATTTTACGTGATTTTGGAGGCCTTTTGACATGACATTATTAAATTATTTCTAACTTTTTTATCCAAGGGGAAAGCTAGGCATAATGCATACCATTTTGTAGGATATTTCTTACAGATGATATTTTATGACTGTTTAGATACTCAACCACTGACCTTATTAGTAAAAATTGAGGTCAAAGGTCAATTAAGTGCAAAATTTTATGGGCTTTTTTGATACTTTTTCATCTTTAAGCTAAATATTAAGTATAATGCATGTTGAAATAGGAAATTTGGGATATACCCACAAAAGAGCATTATACTGTACTACATGAAACACATAAACTTTTTTTTCAATTCTGCATATAACTACTTAAAGGGGGTTGCTAAGCAACGCAGAATTCTTTAATTTTCGGACAGAAATTTTCATTTTTTACTCATCCTAGACACATTTATGCATCCCAGCACATATAAAAGTTAGATGTGAGGTCATAAAATCACAAGGGACATACAACAGTTAAATTGTCTTAAAGTTTGACCTCATTAGAACTATTTTTCGGAGGTTAAAGGTCAAATAAGTGCAAAAGTTTCATCAATTTTTTTCAACACTTTTCAATATTCTTGCCATAATTTTACACAATGGATGCTGAAATGGAAAATTCTGAATATACTCTCAAGAAGGGATCAGAACTGCAATATCCATGCATCATTTTAGTTCAAATATCTGTTTAATGACCATTAAGTGGTTCCTAAGCAACATCATTTTAAAGTTTTTGGCTATTAACATGTTTGTTATTTCACATTCTGGACACATTCTAGACACTTTTTGTATATTTCATCACATTGTTTGTAAGATATGGGCCATAAAGATGAAAGAACATTTTTGTATTTAAAATTGACCTTGACACTCTTGTTCTTCAGGGGGTCAAGGTCATATCAGTACAGAATTCTGCTTTAAACTGTAAGTAAATATCAATTTTGAAATGCTTCAAACATGGATAAATCATCTAATAGTTGACGTAATAAAAATGGCGAACGACAAAATTTGCAAGCAAAGAATTCTGGTCTGCTTCTTACAAAGCCCTAGCAAAACATGTATACTATCTTTTTGTTAAACAAGAAATCCATTCTCTTGATTCCATTAAAAATTATCTTTATTTTCATGGATTTAATCAAACAAGAAAAAAAAAACTAAATGATTTCATTACAAGATTTTTCTGGTATAACAGAGCTTAAGGGGTACAATAAAGACTTGACAAGTTATCTTGGAGGGAAATAATAATAATAATAGATAGCATTGGCAATATTTAACGCAAAACTGTTTAGTCAATAAGTTGAAAATTTGACGCTTCTATCCAAATATACAAATCCAGAAATATTGCAAGATGAATTCCAAATCAGACTGAAATCTTCAATAAAATGTTGAAGAGCACTTTTACTTTGTGTCCACCATTCTTTTATCAACTGTCATTTCTCTGTAAGACTGGAGGAAATTCTTTGACTTGTCCAAGACATTATTATTTGCTGTCAAGTACAAGTGATCAGCTTCTATCCTGTAAAAGATTTAAGTATTTTGAAACAGATACATGTCATTGTGTATATAAATTTATATTTATAAATAAAATTAAGAATGCTAAAATTACTATATTTATTTGATTTTCCTTTTAAAATTAAAATTGTATTTATTATGTGATCCAAGTAGTTAAATGATATTGTTAAGTCAATGTATCAGGACTGATAATTCAACAACCTTGTAGTAAACCATCATGGTAAAATTACTGAACTAAAACAAATAGCATATATGGCAATCTGACTAAGCCAGACCTCTGTTTACGCTATCGCAACATGTAAAAAAAATCTGGCATTAGAATGCTACGAAAGCCAGGAAGGGACACGTAAATTTTTCAAAAAAGTAAAAAATGATATCGAATCAAATTAGACAATCCAATCCCACATATTACTAAATTGTTCCCTCGATTTATGATATGAGATCTCGAATTACACAATCCGATCTTAAGGATTACTAATTTGCCCCCTTGATTCATGATTTGAGATCTCGAATTACATACATGTAATTTGTTTTCACAGATTGTTAATTCAACATCTCGATTTGTTACAACGTCAGTCTTATGATTTTGGAAATCTGTGCTCTTGAATTTCATTACATATATGTACAGATACATCCAACCATTTTAATCAATAAGTGCGTTCTATTTATTTTGTTTCAGCAACCGGTCGTTTCCAACCTCTTTCATAACTAATTCAACGTATATTTATTTTAGAAATATTATGATTACACAGGACCCATATTCACTTTTACTATATATCTAGGACTTTCAATTATTCTAATATACAAGTAACACAAAAACCTCTAAGATTTTTTGTTGTACAAATATCAGTACTAGCACATGGATTTGAAAATGTTCATGTATTTTTCTCATTTTGGACCGTAATATGTAATAAAAGTTAGGATGTAAAATACTACAATATTCTATTTTTTAAACATGTATTACCATATCCGATATGTACAGATAAATAATTTAAACGAAATCATGGGAAGGGTTTACATTCCAAGGGAATGAATCATTTAAACTAAGAGAATGAATGTTACAATCTGAGGTAACAGATTGTGTAATTTGAGGGAACGAATTGATAATCTGTGAGAATGAATTGGCAATTTGTTATAACAGATTGTCAATCGGAGAGAACAGATTGTATAAATCAAGAACTCGGTTTACTTTTATAAATTTTTAAAAATTCTATGTCCCTTCATGGCTTTCATAGATTTCATACCTGCATGGCTGCCAGGGTTGTAAAAAGAAAGGAGACAATAGACTGCAATGTTACTTCAGGGCAAAATTCCTGGGGCAAGGCTGTTCGTGAGCATGGGAGCTTTGATAAACCATCCAGTGAGTTTGACCACCCATGTATATGATGTACCATAATTGGAAAGTGTCTGAAAAATTGAGAAAATGGAAATGCTAACCACATACTTTATGCAGATTGGAAATACAACAGCAGTCTATAAAAACAGCTTGTTCCATATCTCGGCATTCATTCAGATAGATATTACATGTTTAAATAATGTGTCTGTATGAATAATCAAGCATCATAAGTATTATGTGTTTAAAACACTTATTTTTCAAAATATAAATCAAATGTTTATAAACTTGTATGAATGCGATATCATAAACTTTATTTTTTGAAATTTTAAAAATACAGAAATTTTCAATACCAAAACAAAAATTTACCTGTTCATTGGTGTCCTTACATATTAATTGACCTCCGTAGTTCATGGTGGGCTTAGAAAGTGGGTATTCACAGATGAAAGTATTGTTGCATATGGTGAAAGCACCCTAAAATTTCAATGTGAAAATTGTACATGTACACACTGGTACATACTACATAGATACTGAAAACAACTATCCATTATTATGACAACTTTGATTTTACGAGGGTTGTTCGAAAAGTTCGTGGACGGGTTCGGTACAGACCGCTGTATTTGTTTGTTTAAAGTGAAACTTTCCATACTTTTATTATACCATATTTCCAGTAAAAATACAAGTTTTCAAATTTTTGCTCCATTAAATAAAAAATTTATAGCCGTTCTAATTTCTTTAGCAAGGGGTCGCGGAGCACCCTCGATTTTTGCGTATTTGAATATTCTAAGTCAATATTGTCATTACAGATTTTTTTTAATTTTGCGCTCGAAAATTTATGAAATTCAATATGACGTCACAATAGTAGGCAATCGTCATATCTGAGAAGTTTCAGTTATTTTGAGCAAGTGGTTCTCGGCTTATCAATTCATAATGAAAGGGGACGGACTCGATTCACCGTTGAAAACGGCGTCAGAATTGGATGTCACAGAACAGCGGGCTGTGATAAAATTTTGTGTGATAGCAGGAAAGACTCCTTTTGAGACAAAACAATTGCTAGATGAATGTGGGGATAGGTCCAAAGTATCAAGATCAATGGTATACAAGTGGTATAAACGATTTAAAGAAGGACGGTGTGAAACGTGGGATGACGAAAGGTCAGGACGACCTCCGACTATTGATTCGGACTTGACGGCGTCAGTGTTACAAGATCTTGAGAAAGATAGAAGATTAACAGTAAGGGATATAGCGGATAAATTTGAAATAAGTACGTCTACGGCGCATGAAACAATAACAAAATCTCTTGGATTTGAAAAGGTTTGTGCTCGTTGGGTGCCGAAATTACTGTCTACGGACGAAAAAAATCGGCGGATCGTAGCATCAAAAGAGTTTCTAAGAAGATGGGAAAATGAAGGTGAATTATTTCTCAATCGCATAATAACGACAGATGAGACTTGGCTTCACCTCTTCGACCCAGAAACTAAACAACAATCTATGATGTGGAAAAGAAAAGGTTCTCCGCCTCCAAAAAAAGCAAAGGTTGCACGCTCGCATGGCAAGCACATGTTTATAATCTTCATGGACATAAAGGGCATCATTCTCACACACGCTGTCCCTAATGGACAACACGTCAATGCTGATTATTATGCAAAGGTATCTTGATCTTGTTTTATCCTTTATGTACCTTTTAATTTTATAATTTTTTAATCTAACGTTATACAATTCAACAAAATTAAGTTTTTAAAAGTTTTTTTTCAATAAAATTATAATATAAAACAGGATACGCTTTTATTGCAAGGCCTAATTCTCCACATTTTCGTTTCTTTTAAGGTTATCCGACGTGACTTAGTCCAAGCCTTAAGGAAGAAACGTCCGAACTTTGCTGATTTGTGCTCGGTTATTTTCCACCAGGACAACGCTCCAGCGCACAGATCGCAATCTACCATGCTCGAATTAGATTTACTTGGATTTGATCTCTTACAACACCCTCCTTATAGCCCAGACCTCGCCCCGATGGACTTTGCACTCTTTCCATATTTAAAATCAAGGCTAAGGGGACAGAAATTCGATGATTTAGAAGAACTACGATGTGCAACTAGTTTTGTTTTGAAGGATATTAACGAAAGTTGGTGCAGAAATGTCTTTCAAAAGTGGGTTGAAAGACATCAGAAGTGTGTCAAACTCAGCGGTGTATACTTTGAAAAAGAGTGATTATTGTTTTATGGCAGTCTGGAAAGTTACTTTTTATTCCGATTATTCATAAAACATAACGACGTTACAACGTCATAAAATTTACGCCACAGTTGCTCCGCGGGCATTGACAATGTATAATAAAAATTGATATAACTTTAATAAATGTAAGTAAAACTGACTGAAATTTTGCATATTATTTCAAAATCCATTACCATTTAATGTAATATACAAGGTTTTTCGAATAGCAACATATCTTTGGAGAAAATTACATCGTCCACGAACTTTTCGAACAACCCTCGTACTTTGAACTTACGAGTGATTGTCAAAAGCATCAAAGTTCAAATCAATGCAAAATTGGCTGAACAATACGAAACACGCACACTGAAACATAAAGATCTAGTACATGTGTACATTTAGTTTTCTTTTGAACGTGAACTAATGCTTTTTAAACTTAAACTTTTCAGTCAATATACACGTATTCTCACCTGCTAATACTAAAGGCATGTCCGTATTATTTGATTCATTGATGTGAGGATCTTCGTCGTGAAATAATCATGAAAATTGACGTTCAGATTTCGGATCATGTTTCTGTTTACAACTATCACAGCGGAAACACGTGTTTATTTCAATTCGTATCAACTCATACAGTGATGAGTCGTATTTATTTATAAATACAAGTTTTTGTATTGTTAAATATAGATCTCATTAAATTGCAAATTAATAAGTATACAGTATAACAAGATACAACAATATTAAAAACCTGATTGATTTTTTTTTTTAGTAAAGATCGACGTTTTGGAAATCTACAATTTTTATCAATATTGTATATCACTTCATGAAAAATACATCATTTAAGGGCCTACATTTAGATGAATAAATCAACATTCACTGAACACAAAAGGCAGAACGAAAGTATTATTTGTTTTTTGAAATCTTTTTTTTTTTTTGTTTTTTGTTTTTGTTTGTATTATGCATTTATTTCAGTAAAAAATATATTTAAATGGTCAAAAAAGTCTCATAAAAGAATTTGTTGTTTCGAGTAAGACGCAACAATATCGAAAAGTGACGTTACATGTAAATATTGACCGATTTTTCCATAAAGAACTATGCGAAGGTCACAAATTCAAATTATCGTAATTAAGAAAATACTGAGCGCAAGAAGGCCTATAAGCGCTTGTTGGAAAGGAAATTTTCTCTACTTTTACCAGCTTTATTTTGTTTTCCCTATTTCAACACAGAAATAAGCGTAAAACTGAGCTTTGTTTAAATATTGCGAATAAAATAGAGAAAAAACACATAAGTGCAAGAAAATTCTTGTTTTTAAAATATACCTTAAAGTAATAACAATAATTTTTACATATTTTAAAAGTAGAGAAAATATGCTTTAAGAATATACCATGCTTTCTTATAAAGTTAATCAGGAAAAAAATTGTCAATCGTCTGGAAAATCGGCAATCGCTTTGGAAAATTACGCCATTTTCAAAAAGTCTCGTTTGTCTTTACAACGTAAAATCGATTAAATACCGGCAATCAAGATATAATCTTTTTAGATATTTTAAAAGTAGAGAAAATTTCCAAAAAGATGATATATAGCTTATATACCTTCATGCTACCACAAAATAGATACGGAGATCTTATTTTCGCGAAGTCGTATTTTAACGCGCCACCGGTCAATTTGACCGGTACGGAAGTGAAGGGGTTAAGATACCGTATATACTCGCCTATAAGTCGGTCCGCGTATAAGTCGGTTGTATTTTTTGACGTTATTTTCGTGAAATTTGCTATTGACCCGCTTATAAGTCGGTATAACTTTTTTGCCAAAATCTGGTGACAATTGCAAGTAAATCCATTGATATTTTAACCTGGTTTTAATTAATATTTTTCGATATGACACTGATATTGAATCTTAAAATTATTAAACATAAAGGCAATGTTACTTAAAATGCAATTAAAATCATTGAAATATGTATATACTTGTACTTTATATATATAATCTAAGAATACATAAATTATCTTATATATCCTGACAATTTCTTTGATAATCGTCGGAAATGCAAATAGGATACATAATTTTAGCCCCAGGAAAAAATACAGTCTCTTTATGACTCGCCTATAAGTCGGACATAGAGTTTTAGATCAATATTTAACTCTCAAAATACCGACTTATAGGCGAGTATATACGGTAGTTTATATCTATATTATTTGCGACTTAAATTAGTCATAAGATGTATACTTTTCCATACATCCAGATTTTGCTATATATATCTTCGAACCAATGAGTAAAAGTGATGGAACAATGCTGTATTCTGAATTGATCAACATATCATAAAGCTATTAAAAATGTTCTGTATATTTTGTAATTCTAATCCCCCTTGACAAATTATGTGTGCACTTACAAAATACTTTTCTTTTGATTGAAAAATTGAGAAATCGATGAAAAAAAAATAATAATAGTAAACTCACGATTGCCTGTGTTCATGTTTGATATTCCGCATTCTGATCAAGATAGCGTAGGTTTTGTTTATTATGTAGCACTTAACCAATAATTTCCTCATGATAGCGGGCATTTTAGTTAATAAATGGGCAAAGGACTTCCTTTAAATCTGTATTTCCCTCTCGTAAATGCTTGAAATAGAATCAAAGTGAGGTTCCTCAAGGAACAAGTCGTGTAGCTTGCCTATAATTTCAGTATTTAAATATAGTATTTAGGTTTTGAAATTTTAGAATAAAGTTCTTATTACTGAAATTCATGAAATTATGATAAACAAACTTTTCTACGGAAAATTTTCTCGTCAAAAATTTCGATTAAAAAAAAATAATATGGTACTTGTGTAGTTCGAACCCTAGAAGAAATATCCTGGGCACAATTGTTTTAAGACAAACACGCTACATACCCAGTAACTGCTGATGAAAAGTATTTTCAGGAAAGTGTGAATGCTGCGTTATAAAATTGTTTTTTTTTCAAGGTATTGTTGGACTTAGCTTAATGTTTTGATAACCCAAAAATGTATAGGATCAACTTTTTAAAAAATGGAGCACAGGTCAACTCAATTCTAAAAATTGTGTTATAGTATGAGAAAACTGTCTGTCTTGTCCTCTTTAGTTTATGTATGCTATTTCATAGGCAATTCATTTTAATATTTTTGTAAGGTTTTCATAAATAGTGGTGATTATACGAGGGTTGTTCGAAAAGTTCGTGGACGATGTCATTTTCTCCAAAGATATGTTGCTATTCGAAAACCCTTTTATATTACATTAAATGGTAATGGATTTTGAAATAATATGCAAAATTTCAGTCAGTTTTACTTACATTTATTAAAGTTATATCAATTTTTATTATACATTGTCAATGCCCGCGGAGCAACTGTGGCGTAAATTTTATGACGTTGTAACGTCGTTATGTTTTATGAATAATCGGAATAAAAAGTAACTTTCCAGACTGCCATAAAACAATAATCACTCTTTTTCAAAGTATACACCGCTGAGTTTGACACACTTCTGATGTCTTTCAACCCACTTTTGATAGACATTTCTGCACCAACTTCCGTTAATATCCTTCAAAATAAAACTAGTTGCACATCGTAATTCTTCTAAATCATCGAATTTCTGTCCCCTGAGCCTTGATTTTAAATATGGAAAGAGTGCAAAGTCCATCGGGACGAGGTCTGGGCTATAAGGAGGGTGTTGTAAGAGATCAAATCCAAGTAAATCTAATTCGAGCATGGTAGATTGCGATCTGTGCGCTGGAGCGTTGTCCTGGTGGAAAATAACCGAGCACAAATCAGCAAAGTTCGGACGTTTCTTCCTTAAGGCTTGGACTAAGTCACGTCGGATAACCTTAAAAGAAACGAAAATGTGGAGAATTAGGCCTTGCAATAAAAGCGTATCCTGTTTTATATTATAATTTTATTGAAAAAAAACTTTTAAAAACTTAATTTTGTTGAATTGTATAACGTTAGATTAAAAAATTATAAAATTAAAAGGTACATAAAGGATAAAACAAGATCAAGATACCTTTGCATAATAATCAGCATTGACGTGTTGTCCATTAGGGACAGCATGTGCGAGAATGATGCCCTGTATGTCCATGAAGAGTATAAACATGTGCTTGCCATGCGAGCGTGCAACCTTTGCTTTTTTTGGAGGCGGAGAACCTTTTCTTTTCCACATCATAGATTGTTGTTTAGTTTCTGGGTCGAAGAGGTGAAGCCAAGTCTCATCTGTCGTTATTATGCGATTGAGAAATAATTCACCTTCATTTTCCCATCTTCTTAGAAACTCTTTTGATGCTACGATCCGCCGATTTTTTTCGTCCGTAGACAGTAATTTCGGCACCCAACGAGCACAAACCTTTTCAAATCCAAGAGATTTTGTTATTATTTCATGCGCCGTAGACGTACTTATTTCAAATTTATCCGCTATATCCCTTACTGTTAATCTTCTATCTTTCTCAAGATCTTGTAACACTGACGCCGTCAAGTCCGAATCAATAGTCGGAGGTCGTCCTGACCTTTCGTCATCCCACGTTTCACACCGTCCTTCTTTAAATCGTTTATACCACTTGTATACCATTGATCTTGATACTTTGGACCTATCCCCACATTCATCTAGCAATTGTTTTGTCTCAAAAGGAGTCTTTCCTGCTATCACACAAAATTTTATCACAGCGCGCTCTTCTGTGACATCCAATTCTGACGCCGTTTTCAACAGTGAATCGAGTCCGTCCCCTTTCATTATGAATCGATGAGCCGAGAACCACTTGCTCAAAATAACTGAAACTTCTCAGATATGACGATTGCCTACTATTGTGACGTCATATTGAATTTCATAAATTTTCGAGCGCAAAATTAAAAAAAATCTGTAATGACAATATTGACTTAGAATATTCAAATACGCAAAAATCGAGGGTGCTCCGCGACCCCTTGCTAAAGAAATTAGAACGGCTATAAATTTTTTATTTAATGGAGCAAAAATTTGAAAACTTGTATTTTTACTGGAAATATGGTATAATAAAAGTATGGAAAGTTTCACTTTAAACAAACAAATACAGCGGTCTGTACCGAACCCGTCCACGAACTTTTCGAACAACCCTCGTACATAACGTTTACGTTTATGTAAAATGAAATATAAGAGACAAATCCATTATAATAAAGATTTTTTTTCAAATTCATTTTTGTCGCGCTATTGGCATTTCACTCGACTTTTTAACTCATTTCTTAATTTTAAACAAGAATTTT